TATAAAATATTCTGAATACCTATGTGTTTACATTATTATGTAATATTAAAATATTCACTAAAACAGATTATAAAAAAGTTACCCCAAAGAAGATATGGGAGGAAAACTAGAAGGAAAAAGTCAAAATTATTTTACGTCTGCTTTATACCAGAGCAAACCCAGTGGGAAATGGAATGGTATAGGATCATCTACATGAACACTGCAATGACCAAGAATTATGATAGGTACACCATTGGAGAGAGAGAGCCAAGAACTAAAATCTTCAAAAAATGAGAGGGAGTGGCGTTGGGGGTATGTAGATGACAGCCACAAGTAGAGATACTGTGTAGTATATCCTGATGACAAGCTAGGGGTTTTCAGGGAGGAGAGAGGGAAGATCATCTGGAAGGAACAGGGAGGACAAGGAGCGTACCTCCTCCCTGACAAGGCTCAGTGGGAGTGGCGCAAAGGAAGCAGGGTCCTAGGGGAGGGCGATGTTTCCTTTAGAACAAGGTTAAGGGGCCATTCAGAGAAGAGGGTGAATGACTGACCATGAGTTCTAGAGGGCTCTCCCTCAATGAGTAACTATGAATGGATTAATGAAAAGTGAGACTTAAAATGTATCTAATGACCTACGTAAAGTGTAAAGTGCTACATAATGTAAGGCATCATTACTACCTCTTGAACTGCTGGACTGAGGAAACTTCATTCTGCTTTCATGGTTTTCTTTACATTAATTTGTACTTTCTAAATTGACAAATATTCTTTTCTAGACATTAATTTCTTTCCTTATGGTTCCTCTTACATTCCCTATGCATCTTTTCTAAAATCTGTTTGGGGAGAAGGGGAGAGAAACTCTCCTTTTAAGCAAAACCCCATCAGGCAACTCTAACTGCATAATCTCCTATTACTCCATCTGCCTTAAGCACAAATATAGTGATGACAGGAATTTTAGAGCTGAAAGAGGACTTAAAGATAACAAATGCAACATTCTCATTTTACAGCTGACCAGAGGTTATGTGGTTCGCCAAAGCTAATTGGCTGGTTACTAGCAGAACCAGGGCTAGAATCCGTGCCTCCTCTCCGCTTCCTTCTGTTTTTGAACAGCAGAAACAGAAAACACCTGCCAAATGGGGCACTGTATGCTGGGTTGAGTGCAGGCTCTCGGTCAGACTACCCAAATTCAAACCCTAAATCTGCTACTCACCAGCCATGGGACCTTGGTCAAGTAATCTAACTGCTCCATGCCTCAGTTTCCTCATCTACAAAATGGAAGGCCTAATTGTATCTACTTCATAGAGTTGTCATAAGGATTAAGTGGATTAATGTTCTTAAAGCACATACCAGTGCTTGGCACATAAAGAGTGACCAGAAATCTAAGCTACTGTTACTATTTAGCACATGCTTGGCTGGTTGCTGATATAACAGAGATGAACAGAGGCCAGGGATTTTACCCACAACTATTTTTGTTTGGTCTGTAAGAAACAAAGCCAAACCAAACCAACAACAACAAAAACCACACTTGAGATAATGTTTACAAATCTGGATATTTCACATGGAGATCTAAATTTCCAGTTTCTCTTGAAAATTGGGAAGTCTCACCTAGATGGCCACAATTCTGATGTAGTAACAATTGGCTGGAGCTAAAAGTAGCTGCCCCTGTTAGTCCACACCACTTGCATAATGTATGTGATGTACTTACACCTTTTAGTTTCCATCTGAGCTCTACCTGCCTGATTACTGCATGCCTTTGAAATTGCATCCCAGGCTAAGACAATCCTGCTCTGAAGAACTCACAATCCCATAGGTGAGATGCATCTGCTAAACAATTCACAATACAGTATGATAGACACAAGTACAAAGTTGCAAAGGACTACAAAGTACAATAGTAGCCTGAAGGAACATGAGGTGTACTGAAGGGTGAAGGTGCTGCACGTGATATATGTTGTTAAGAAAGTGGCTTTGAAAAAGAAAAGGAGTGGAAGAGAGTTGCAGAGAGAATAGGATGTGCAAAGACATTGAAATGGGAAACAGTTTGTGTGAGGAGAAGTAGGCTGACGCTAGATAACACAAGCCCCTTACTTTGGATTTTACCCTGTAGAAGATGCATAGCCCTTGAAATGTTTTCCATCATTAAATTCTAAATCTAACTTTAAGGCAGTTATGGCTGGATACCCTTACCATCCTCCATCAAATGTCTTTGGACCTTGTGTTTGAGAAAGAAATGCTGTACAATTCACAATATTCTATGAAATATCTTTCAGTAGCAAATTGCCACTTCAAGAAGAAGCCCTGTCTTTATAATGGATAAAATACAGTTTTTAGATTTGTCTGCAAATGAAGTTTCCTCATCTGTAAAATGGGGATAATAATAGCACCTACCTCAGGGTTATTAAATTGAGAATTAAACTCAATATAACCTATGTAAGGAGCTTACCAGGGTACCTGATACAAAGTAAAAGTGGTCAATTAATATGAGTTATTATGTTTATGATAGTTATTGAATCTTCATTGTCTGTCATCCCTATCATTGAGAAAATATAACATTTCATTAAGTCAAATATGTGTTTTCATTGATAACTGAAGTTAATCAAGACTGGTAGCATCTTTAGGTTGCATGTGGTAAAAAATAAATGCAAAAAATACTAAATGAAAATGCCAAGATAAAACTTCCATCCTTTCTATATTATCAATTGCAAAAGTTTCAAGAACAATTTAAAGATTTTTGTGCAGCATAGAAAGTGCCACTTATCGTCTGCAGTTCAATATAATAGTTTATTAGTAGTAATAAAGGTGGTTAGGTAGAAGAGACGTTTCTCCAGTTCCCCCAGGCTCAAAGAGGAGGAAAAATCCTCACGCAAGAAAACTTTTCACCTCTGACAGTAACATCTTGGAGAGCCAGGGAGCTCAGACAATCACTTGGCGGGAAAAGAATAAATACAGACCAAAATCGCACAATCTGTTTCTGTTTAGTTTATAAAGTGCGATCAAATCTGTCAGCTTTTGTGCCTTGTGGGACTTGAAGTCCAGAGGGAAGAAGTGATCAGGGTTGTTGAGGCTTGGAAACAGGCAGCCCCTGCAGGTCTGAGCAGTAAGGACTACAACTCCCGACACCCACCGCAAGGCCGCGCTGTAATTACGGGCAACCAACCGTATCCGAGCAGGGCAAGCTCCGCCCCCCGGCTCGGAGGACGGCTTCCACCAATGGCAGAGCTCCCAGCCCAGAGCCTGCGGGTTAGGTTGTGAGGCTCGGGCCGGGGGCGGGGAGGAGTCGAGGGGGTTCAGACCGAGCTCGGCCGCTGGGTGGGTCGGGGCGTCCGGCGCGCCCTTCATTGAAGCGGCGGTGGCCGGGCTGGGCGCCGGGAGTGGGAAGCGGCGGCGCGGCTGGAAAATGCCAGTCCACTCCCGAGGGGATAAGAAGGAGACGAACCATCACGATGAGATGGAGGTGGACTACGCCGAAAACGAAGGGAGCAGCTCGGAGGACGAGGACACGGAGAGCTCGTCGGTCTCCGAGGATGGAGACAGCTCAGGTGCGCGACCCAGCGGGGCTGGGACCCGAGCCCTCGCGCCCGGCGCGCGACAGGCCGCTCTCCGCACGCCGGGCAGCTGCGTCCTGCTGGGAGAGCGGGGCGGGGAGAGAGGGAAGGGGCGGAGACTGGCTCCCGGCCCTCGGCGGCGCCCGGACCGGTCGCGGGGCGCTGCCTGGCTGCGGGCGGGTCCCCGCCGGCGGGGCGGGGCGGGGCGGGGCGCGGGCCTGGGCTCGCCCAGCCCCGGGACGCTGCGCCGTCCTGCTCGCCGTCGGACCCGCCCTTGGGGCCTCCGGGCAGTGCTCGGGGCTAGCGACCGACGCGGGGGGTGCCCCGCAGCTTGTCTGGGAGACCCTGGAAATGCCTCCTTTCCCAGACCACCGACTTCTTTCCTTATTTTTCACCTTTGCAACCCTTACTTCTCAACACGGGTGTGTTGTCCGGCCCGACGGTAGATTTGTACCTGCTCTTGGCTGGCTTAGAACTTCGTAACCTCAGCATCGAAGTCAGCCTGTCAGTCAGCGCTTCACAGCGGTGCTCCTGCGGGGGCTGACTTGGGAGCTGTCCGGTTTACGGCATCTCTCTGAACTTTTCAGGACTAAGAAGAGCCCAGCATCAGGGGTGATTTTGAGTATTCCTATGCTTATGGGAGTGGGAGGCAGATAACGCCACAAATCAATTTTGCAAACTTTTAGGAATGGCTATTAAGAAAATAAATGGAATTTGTGATTAAGATTCTTTTCCTTCTATGCCAGTGATGAGGATGAGACATTTCTTTCTTGGCCTGATTTTGGCCGTGTAAAGCAAGGACTGATGACAAGTTAATGACAGTTTGTTATCGCCCCGACGCCCTCTTTTCAGGTTTCCCTTTTAAAGCAAATCTCCATGGAGGTATGTAATTTCAATTAGTATATTAGCCGTCCAAAAATAAGTATTTATGAGTGACTTCCTTGTGCAGGACTGGGCGCTACTCAGTGTGAGGTATAAATAAATAGTTATGATCTGATCTCAATTAAAGAGCTGTCATAAGTCACCACTTGATTAAATTGTCAAATGAATGCTTAACTATAAACAATGCTGTAGGAATTCAGAGGCAGAGGAAATCTTTTCAGAATAGGGTGGTCAGCAAAGGCTAGTTGAAGAAGGTGGGATTACCTTAATTGAAGAATGGGTAGAATTTAGATTGGGGTGGTAATGGTCAGGTGTTTCCATAGGGGGAGGAATGTAAGAAAAAGTGGAAAGGTCAGAGCTTAAGGCTTATTCAAAAGAGTCAGAAAACCAGTTTGGTTGGGAGAAGGATTTGAGCTAGAAAAGGAAGGTATAGATGTGAAAGATTTCGAAAAAGCATAAAACAGGATTGCTGAATGCAAGTTTAGGAATGAAGGTAAGAGGAAAAACCCAGATACAAGGAGAATGGTGGTAGCATGAAGAGAAGTAGAAAAGTAAAAGATTTGAGATGAAGGTGGAAGATAGAATATTTCAGACATGTCGCTTTTGAGGTGATGGTGGTATATTTAAGTCAGAGCGCCCAGCTGACAGATGGAAATGTGGCATTGGAGCCTGCCTGGGATGGGAAGCATAATCTGAAGTCATCTGCCTAGTTATGAAAGTAGGTGAGATTTCAAAAGTGAGGAATACTGAAAAAGGACATCTAGATTGTATGTGAATACATTTCCTAGATTTGTAAAACATTTTATCATCAAGTGTTCTTTGTTTTTTTGGTGGGAGCTAGGATCCTACAAAATGACACCTATGTGTTAAAAGTCTCCCTCTCTAATTTTTATGTTGACTGTTTTGATTTTTTCACTTGTTTTTATTCCATCCCAGAAAATAATGGACAACTTAATCTGTGAAGAATGTAATAATAATTTGAACTACAAGTCAGATTTTTTAAGTGCAAAGAAATTATTTAAATAAGTTTTGCAGTTTTGTTTCTTGTAAAAGCGTCTCTTTTCTACCATATATCTTGCACGTTAAACTTCTGCAGTTTTATTCTTCTCAAACTTTCGTACTAAGCAGGTCCTAAGGCTACAGAAAACACTCTACTATCCAGAGATGTTGGGGAGTGAGTCATCTTGAGAGACCAGATTTTAAATAGCCAAGGTGTAGGCTATTAAGAGCCAGAAATAATTTTAATCTGTTTTAGAAAAGTTAAAAAAATGAGTCATATACTTCCTTGCTATATGAAAATAACGGAACATAATTGAACTCTTTCTCCCAGTTTGACCTTTATTTGAGGAAGATCAAGATGCAGATCATTTTGCACTTCAGTTAATTTGGTGTGTTGAATATATATGATGTAGAAATAGAAGATATGGAATATAGGACAAACCTGGTAACTAACAGTTGCTTTCCTTAAAAACTTTGCTTGTTTTTCTCCTCATTTTCCTCTTTCTCACTGACTGACAGTAATAAGGGGTGAGGGAACAATGGGAGTATAAGAGTAGTAGGCCAAGATATCCTGTGGTAAACATAATGAGGTTAGTTTTCTTTTTTATGTGGCTGGCAAATCAGCCCTGTGAGCAGTTCTGAAAGAAAAATTCCAAAAGTGTTTTTGAGCAATATTAACCTTTAAAGGGTGTCATCATTTTGGTGCTTAAGTTCTGGTGAATGGTGGAAAACAAACCAAAAGTGGGTTAATTATTTCACAGTCATGGCTTGATGTCAGCCCTTTAAAATGATTTAAAAATGGATAAAAATAAGAAAGTCTAGAGACTGCAATAGTTTTAACTCTCATCTGTATTTTAGGTTAAAATCTAGAGTGGAAATTATTTTGGATAAATGTTTATTTTCTCTTAAGGCTTAATTTAGGCTTTGCATATCTAACTTCATGTTACAGTTTTTTTCTTTTTTTTACCATTTGAATTAACATTCAGATATATTTGGAACATAAAATTAATTTTATCTTTGATATTTGCCTTTTTATGAACAGAAATGGATGATGAAGACTGTGAAAGAAGAAGAATGGAATGTTTAGATGAAATGTCCAATCTTGAAAAACAGTTCACCGATCTCAAGGATCAGTAAGTAGTGACTTCAGAAGGTCATTGTCACTGAATCTCAACCATGTCACATGTGTACTGGCACAAGGGAAATGATATGCACTCTGAACTGTTCTCCTTTTTGTATTTTATGGGACTGACTGATCTGAAAGAGGCTTCAACTATTGTTTGCCTGCTGAAGACCTCGTTAACTGAAATGAGGGTTTTGAGGCAGGTTTTTTGGGGATGAAATAAGATTTGTATGTGGATGTTGGTAGTTAAAATGTTTCCCCCGGGTTGTTGCATCCTTGGTTCTAATCTGCTTTGTTTGTACCTATGTTAAATTAGATAAAGATAGCATTTTTTAAAGCGTGAGCATAAGAGAGAATGTTTCCCCAAGACGGCGTAGTGATTTTCGTTTATATCTTACCGTTGGATAGTACATACATTATGTGTTTGCACCTGCATTATTTATTTTGCTTCTTGCAGCAGCTCTGTAATGTTGGAAGGTAGATAGTCTTATCTCCATTTTACCTGTGAGAAAATTGATGCTCAGAGAGGTTGAGTGATTTGCCCATAGTTCATCAGAAAGTGATAAGTCAGGCTTTCTGCCTCCTTGTGCTGTGGTGTTCCTTCCACCAAGGCATGTTACTTTGGAGGAACTATAGAGGAGTAGAAAGAGCACAGACTTTGAATCCAGGCTTTCTTGACAGATTAAAAAGATATAATAATAACTTCGTTATTATCTACTGTAAGGACTGAATAAGCAATATGTAAAATTCTGAGCCTTTTGCCAGGCATGTAGTGGGTGCTTAGTAGATACTGTTTCTCCCCTCTTTATCGTGCCAGAACTCTTATGTGAGGTTGATAACATAAGAATGGGCCCCAGTGATTTGAGAGAACAGAATAGATGGACTTGCAGATTAAAAAAAAAATCTTGAAGGTGAGCTTTTACTTTGGGACTTGCTGGCAAGGTCATGGGGCATAGCTATATTTTAGGAATTGTAAAGGAAAGAGAGAAACTCCTGAGAATATAGACACCTTAGTTTATTCAAGAGCTGGCTCTTCAGTTTATAAATTCTTTATGATTTTGCTGCTTATTCTTTTTCTCCTACTTCTTCCCTAAGGAGGCCCGAAGAAGAGATGAAAACCCATTTAATATCTAGAATTGCCAGACTAAAATGGGACAGATTTGTTTATCATATGAATCCTGTTTATGCCGTTTCTGGTCTTAGCTTTCGTTGGCATTAGAGATGAATATATAGATAATGTTCCATGCTAGTGCAACAAATTAATATAAGCAATGCAAAATAATTCAAAGTTAAAATTTTTAGCTTTAAAAAAACGTGGTATCATTTTCTTCTTCTGAAGATTACATTATTAATTTTAAATTAAAATTAGTTTGGATCCCCAAAGAATCCCTTATCTGGGCTACATGGAGGGTTCATCCAGGATCATTCTGGAAAAGAGGAAGTAAATTTGTATTTTTGTATTTTGGCACAAGTAATCTGTGAGTGAATAATTCTCATACAATTAAGATATGTCTACTGAGCTTTTAAAGTGTATTTTATGGTTATCCAAGAAATGAAAATTACTGTAACGCTCTAGTATAACATATTACACAGAACTTTGCAGCTGGTCAGTCATTAGGCCTAATCTTGTTCATTTGGGGGCTGGTTGCCTTGATTTTTGCTTCATTGTGGCTCCCTGTGAACACCAGCCAGTTCCCCTGCCAGCTTCATTCATCTCTGAAAGTTAAAAGTAGACCCATTACTATTATTTAATAGGATTCTTTCTCAAGGAATTGGTATCTAGAAATATGTTTTAGAAAAAAATAATCTTTGCACCAGGTTTATAGTTGTCTTATTTTTTCATCTTGCCCCAGTTGCCTCGTTTGTTATTTTATCCTGTTGTGCTGTTTGTCTCTGTGAGCTGTCTCAAATCCTCTTTAGAAGAGGTGGGAAATATAATAATATAATAATAATAGTAGCAATATTATAATTATCCTGCTTCTCCTATTCTAGCATCACAGGGCACAATAGTACTCCTTTCATAAGGCAGAAAATCCCCCATTTGCAGTTTGTGTAGTGGTGGAAGGTGACCCCTTCCACCTCCTTAAAAAGACAGAAGAACTTATACCACCCGAGTTTCCATGCATGTCAACATTCAATATCCAACAAACATTAATTGACCATCTACTCTATGAAGAGTATTGTGGTTGCTGCTGAGGGACTCATGATCCTTGCCTTTGATCAATTTATGCTTGAATTCTAAGGTTGTAGAATTATACTGATTTTGAGGAACGTATTAAAAGGGTAGTTAATTGAATATTAATTCATATATCCTCTTCATTCAAGATGTTGTTCACCCATTCAGGATACTTTATCAATATTTTTTGTAAGTTTGATGTTTTTCAGGTGCAGTCATCCTTTGTATCAAATTTTTAGCATTTTGCCTAAAGTTGTATTTATAATTTCAAAAACTATAAGTATCATGTTGTACTTTTCTGACTTTACACATTTGTTTATTATTGTATCTTGAGTTTTAGAAAAGTTTAACACAAACATGATAATGTATTCTTTTGGCGGTTAACTCAGATAAGTTTTTCCTTTTTCTTTAAAAAAAAAGAATGTTTATTGCATTAACACTCAAACTTGCTTTGTTCCTTCGTTCAGAATCATCATATAAATCTCTATGCTAATTATAATGATCAATTATAGACAATTAATATTGATTGCCTTAATTGTATTCTTAATTGTATTGGTTTATAGTTTCAAGAGGAAAGAGCAGAATTTTATATGAAAGCCAGGTATCATATGTTTTCAAAAGCCAACTGCTAGTTATGCTAACACCTACAAGTATAATCGGTGGCTTTTTTCAGAAGTTACTATATGCCATCCTTGTGACATATTATAACATAGTCTTCACCTATGAGAGCCATAAACGGCAAAAAAAGAAGTTAAAAAAATGATCTTAAATTGTTGATGTGCTTTGAAATTTTTAGGATATCTTTGAAATGCCACAAAAACAGGAATAGAAGTGCCTTTCATAAAGAGTGACAGTCTAAACATTTTCCTATTAAAAAAAGTTCTATCCTGCAGGATTATTGCCAGAAATAAACACTGAGTTGTCTCACATACTCTGTCTTTGATAATCAAGCTAACGGTATTGGTGTGACAGCTGGCAAATTATTGTCATGTACATTCATAAATATGGCAACAAGGATCCCCTGCCCTGTTTTTCATTTCCCCATCCATTGAACAACTCATTTTGTTATGGCTTCTTCATCTGCAGTCCCGACAACCTGGGTACACCAGGTCACACGTTCTATAGCCATTGGTTTTACCTTCATCACTCTGCTTCCTCTTCGTTCTTTTTAAAAATCAAGTAGGCTGAATATTGTAACACTCACTCCTTTTCGGGAAAGGTAGAGAGAAGCCAGGGAATTATTTACTTTGACAACTGGTAATGTCCTTATCTAAATTATTCAAAATAATTTCTTTGTTTCTTTTAAACTCAGTATTGAAATGACCTTTTCTCTTAGAATCAATTTATTGTTCTGCAGTTAAAACAAAAACAAAAATAAAAATCTGAAGTGCCAAAAAGTAGTTATTTCAGTTGTAATTTTTGTACTGTGAATTAACCATTAGTGATATATCTAGAAAAAGATAGAAAAACGTCTATTTTGTGATTATGTGCAAAAGTCAAATAATGTAACTGAGTCCTTCACTTGAGATCAAGGCAAAAATACATTTGGTAGGTTATTAGAATATAAATGATATTAGGAAGAGATAATGTATAGAAATGGTAATTGTTAGCCTTTGTTGGGCTTTTAAAATTAATATCTTAATTTTTGCTTTGTTAAGACTTTATAAAGAACGATTAAGTCAGGTGGATGCAAAACTACAAGAAGTCATAGCTGGAAAAGCACCAGAATATTTGGAACCACTGGCAACTTTACAAGAAAATATGCAAATTCGTACAAAGGTAGCAGGTAGGAAAGTGAAACATCTTTTCCATGTAGTAGAATATGAACTCTTCAATAGATTTAAAAGATGTTTATCAAGTGAGTGTTTGCTGTTAATGGAATTGCAAATATATTTACACTGACCAGAGTATTTCACTATCAGTCAGCCCACACAATTATTTATTAAATGACTTTTGTTCCTCTCTCCTGCTATGGGGGATCAAAAGAAGCCCTCAAATTGCTTACAATGTTGTTGAGAAGATACTTTCACATGTGAAACAATTAGAAACCATGATACTTTCATTAAGGGATACTGTTACTATCACAGTTTAATTTCCTATTAGACAAATTAAGGTTCAATTTAAGTACTCAGTATATTTCATCTATAAGAGTGATAAGGATTTTTTTGTTTATAAAAACATTTTAAAAATGTTTGATCAGGATATTAAGAATAGGGAATTAGCCTTCAACCCTAGAATTTAATGATAATTTTTTATTTTAATAAGTTTGCTTACTCATTTGTGGCTATGTATAAATGGAGATGTACTATATTTGTATGGTTAAATTTCAGTCTTCTGTTTGTAATTGGGGTCCGGCCTCAGAATTGTGTCCTAGCTACTCATAACAAGGGATGTGTCTATTTGTAGATCTCTTGCGATTTTTCATAATCAAACTAAAAACTGAATTTTAATTAATGAGAGATGCTGATTGTTTTCTTTTTGAGGGACACTAATTGAGCCTCATGTGCCTGTTATGTAATACCTAACAAATTGTTGATAATAGGTTCTTTTTATACTAAATCTGCTGTAAACCAAATTTTATTCTTGAGTGCTTAATATTAAGTATGTAGATGACGTGATACTAAACCTGCTATTTTTATATATTGCCTTAGCACACCCTTAAAAGCAAACATGTCCTTAATTTTCTTTGACATTCTAAAAGAACTAAGTGAGACTTACTGGATGTTTAGGAAATATTACTTGAGTCAGTTATTCGCTTTTCTGCTATGTGGCCTCCTTTGCTTTTTGATTGTACAAAGAGTAGTGTGTGTGTGAATGTGTTGCTAATAGCATAGTTCCAGATATCTGTCTCTTGCCTTTACAAGAAAGAGCATTACATTTCTAGGGCCAACTATGACGTAGAGTTTAGCATATACATCTAGAGCTCTTGGTTTGCCATTTTTGTGATGGCATCTTTGTGTGGCCATGTTGCCTATTTTATACTGTTGCCTTGGTGCCTCTAAGGTAAACTCTCGTGAGCATCCATCCTCTAGGTAAAGCCCTGTCAGGAGCACTCAAACATCATATAAGTTGATACATTTTGTTGTATCAGTTTATACATTTCATCCTATTGGAAGCTTTGGACTCTGAAAATAAATAGTAATTAAAAAATAGTGGTTTTGATGGTTATGGTATCCATTTGTTACTTTGAATATACATAATTAATGAAACCAGAGTTTATTGGCTCTGTTTCCATTATGAGTCCTAAGAGATTGTTTTTCATAGGAAAAGAGTTTTATTTTCATTTTGGTCGTTCTCTATCAAACATTTAGGAGTATTCTTTAGAAGAATGGGATAAGAACTAGAATTAGCAGTGTAGTTTCTTTCTAGCTCTTAAACTTAGTTTTCTAGTCTTCTTTGATTTATGTTTTAACTGAGCCTTTGTATTTTTAGTTTGTAAAGACAGAGTTAGAATCATTTGTCAATTTCTTCTTGATTCATCTTATAAAATACAGTTAGGACAGAATTTCTGTAGGGAAGTGATAATGAAACTCCTTCTTGCTAACATAATCAGAGTAATTGTGTTTGGTTGCAGGAATCTATAGAGAGCTCTGCCTAGAATCTGTAAAGAACAAATATGAATGTGAAATTCAAGCTTCTCGCCAGCATTGTGAGGTACTGTCATTTTGCTTAACTTTTAAGCTAATTTCAACTCTTCAAGTCTTTTTCTGAGTGCAGTAGTTAAAAAAGTAAATAAAATAAGTGAAACAAAATTAAATCGTACTTTAGCTCATTGCTTGTATGATTTCTTTCTTTTTTTTTTTTTTAATACAGTTGCACTGGAAGCTGTTTTGGAAATAGGACACAAAGAAGGGACCATAGAAAAAACTAAGTGAGATAATCTTAGGAGTTTTATAACTGTTACCTTAAAAAGACTTTGTAATGATTATGTCATATGGCATCACTGAAAATATTAGTATAATTAGTATAATCAAAGACTCAAAAATGTATCAGAGACTCAAAAAATGTATATCCGGTAGTACAGTTAGGATTTTGGGCTATATTATTAATTTCTGACTCTTTAGATCTATTTCTACATCTTAGGGCAGGATTCTCTATGGGAAAAAATAGATGTATTTTTCTATACATTCTGTTTATTTTGAATAGCATTTAAATACATAGTGTTGATTTTGCAGATAACTTTTCATAAAGCCTAGACAAGATCATAAATATACTAGTGGAAATAAGAGGACAAGTTCTATAATGGTTCTTCTCTTACTTTAATATACTGTATCTTTATAAATTGTTAAAATACTATGAGTAGATAGGGATAAAAATGTTGGAGCTTGTTGTTTCATTTTCTTGATTACAACTGAGGTGAATTATTTTTTTTGACATTTAGTGGCTGATTGCATTTTCTTTCCTAAGAAGTACCTGTTCATATCTTTTGCCTTTTTGTTGGGCTGTTACTCTTTTTTTTCATTGACTGTGAAGGTTCTTTATATATTCTGGGTACAAATGTTTTGCTGGTTATATGCTTTGCAGATATTTCTACCCAGGCAGCGAGGTGTCTTTTCACTCTTTTTGATGACTTGATGAAGGAAAGTTTTACGTTTTAATGTAGTTGAATTTGTCATCTTTTCTTTATGATATGTGCTTTTTGTGTCTCCCCTATTTTGAGATAAAAAGGTGTATTTTCTGGGGCCAGCCCAGTGGCATAGTGGTTAAGTTCACGCACTCTGCTTTAGCAGCCCGGGGTCCACAGGTTTGGATCCTGGGTGTGGACCTATGCACCGCTCATCAGCCATGTTGTGGCTGATGTGGCATCCTACATACAAAATAGAGGAAGATGGGCACAGATGTTAGCTCAGGGCTAATCTTCCTCAGCAAAAAGAGGAGGGTTGGCAATGGATGTTAGCTCAGAGCCAGTTTTCCTCACACAAGGAAATGTATTTTCCTTCAAAAGTTGAAATTTTTCATTTTAACATTTAGATTTAACATTTAGATTTAAACTACCTTTAATTAATTTTTGTGTGTAGTATAAAGTATGGATCTAATTTTATTTTTTGTGTATGGATAGGTAATCTCGTACTGTTTATTACATACTCCATTGTTTTCCCACTAATCAGCATTTCCATCTCTTTTTTATGTCAAACGTCCACTTATGTTTTTTCTATTTCTATAAAAATATGCCTCTGGGATTTTGACAGAGATTGCGTTGAATTTGTAAATTGCTTTGGATAGTATGGGCATTTTAACAGTATTAAATCTTCCAATCCATGTACGTAGATGTCTTTCCATTTATTTGTGTCCTCTTTAATTTCTTTGGTCAGTGTTTTGTAGTTTTCAGTGTACAAGTCTTTCACCTCCTTAGTTTATTCCTAAGTGTTTTGTTCTTTTTGATGCTGTTGTAAATTGGATTGTCAATTTCCCATATCTCCTTGTATTTCTATCAGTTTTTGCTTTGTATATATATATAGAGAGAGAAAGAGGCTATATTATCAGACTCACGTATTTAGAGGTTTTATATCTTTTAATAAGTGTAACATTTTATCCTTTTTACAGAAGGATAAAGGATTAAATGCTCTTCTTTCTCTGTAATGATGATTTTTGCCTTTAAGTCTATTTTGTCTGATAGTTAAAAATAATTAAAACAGCTATCCTAGTTTTATTTGGCCTGGCATTTGCCTGATAAAAGGTTTTTTTATCCTTTTATATCTTCCAACTTTTTTCTGGCCTTATATTTAGGTGTATTACTGGTAAATAGCATATGCCTTGATTTAAAAAAAATCTTTTTTTTTTTTTTTTGCAGGGGAAGATTCACTCTAAGCTAACATCTATTGCCAATATTCCTCCTTTTTTCTTCCTTTCCCCCACCCAAAGCCCCAGTATGTAGTTGTGTATAGTTCTAAGTTCTTCTGGTTCTTCTATGTGAGCCACTGCCACAGCATGGCCAGTGACAGACAAAAAAAAAAAATCCATTTTAACAATCCCTTTCTTTTAGCTGGTAAATTTAGTCCAATTATATTTATAGTGATTATTTTGATATTTAATACCAACCTATTTTGTGTTTTATAATTGTTCTGCTTTATCCTTTTTTAATCTTTCCTGACCTTTTTAGGGGTGTGTATGATTTATTGAGTTTAAAAAATAACATCATAAAGTTATACCCTCTATTTCTGTTATTTTAGTGATTATCCCAATACCTTCCATTTCTATAATTTTAGTGATTACCTTAAATTTTCAGCATGCATACCTACACTAGTAAGATCTGAATGTTAATAATTGTCCTCCTGAACTATAAAGGACTTTACAACTCTCTAAGTCCAGTTACTCTATCCCAAATTACAAGTTATAGTTCACTATTTTAGTTACATCTTGCTTTTTTACCCTTCAAATGAGACATTATCTTGATTTATAGATTTAGTTCTTTTTACGTTTATCTACATTTTACTAGTTTTTTTCCTCAGCATTTCTGAGATGCAACCCTTCCTTGCAGGTTCATTTTTTACTGCTTGAAGAACATCCTACGCGTTCTTTCACTGAGAGTCTCTTAGTGGTAAGCTCAGTTTTTATTTGTCCAAAAATAGCTTTACTTTAATAATTCTGGAAGGACAGTTTAGGGGGATGTAACATTCTAGAATGACATTATTTCCTCTTAACATTTTTAGGATCTTACTTTCCACAGTTTGTGCTTAGAAGTCTGCAATCATTTGTAGATGAATTTTTTTTAGTACCTCTCACTGGCTGCTTTTAAGCTCTTCTCTTTGTTGTTCCTAAGTTTCTCTTCTGTGTGTCCCCATAGAGATTATTTTTCTCAGCTGTTATCTTTTCTGGTATTGCCTCTCTTCCATTTTCTCTACTTCCTTCTTCAGGAACTCTAATTAGCCATATATAAATCCTCATTCTGTCTTTCATATTGCTTAATGCTTAATTCATATTTTTTATTCAATGAATCATTATCTGAAGTTCTTCAGGATCTAGTTCTGCTGTTTTTTAATTTCTGCCAAACCTCACAGCTTCTTGCCTTACTTTGTGATTCTGGACTATAGCAGGCTTTATTGGTAGGGATTCTGTGAGCCTTGGACAGAGAATGTAGCTCTTCAGATAGTATCTGCTTTTCTTTCCGCTTGGTTGTTACAGCTAGGCATCCTGGTGTGCCACCACCACGTGCCTGCTTTAGTTCTTTGGCTTGGGATTTCCTGGAAGATGCAGGTAATCTCTATTTGAATCTGGAATATGTGGAGATTAGGTCTGAGATGACATCTTTTCAGGGAAAACTTTTTTCCCCAGTTATGGCCTAGGCTGAAACAGACAGATTTCCTTCAGGCGGATCTTTTGTAGTCTGTCTTTTCGTGGAAGGTAGTAACCCTTCAGGGCTATGCAGGGATCCTAGTTCCCACCCCCTACTTTGCTTAGGCCCAAGATCTTTGTCTTTTTCCCAAACAGCCGCTAAAAAGCATGCCTTTCCATTTTTGACACCAGCACATAAGGAAACCACAGCTTCAACAGCAGGTTAGCATACTGGTTTCTAGCTCCTTGTTTATTTTGGTTCCTTTAGGATCTCTCCTATTTTCTTAAGAGCTTAGCTATACCTTTAAAAGAATGTTTGTGGTATTTTGTCTAGAGTATCTGCCTAGGTGTGTTGGGAGTTTTGTTTGTTTTTGTTTTGTTTTTTGAGGATATCTAGTCCATTATGTTGCCAGAAATAGAAGTCAACGAGATAGCCTGAAGTAATATTTTTTAATGAGACAAATATGTTGATATTCTTTCTCTTCCATCATTTTTTAGCTTTGAAAGTCCTCCTTCCTCCATAGAGATGCTAAACATTTACCTAAATTTCTTCTAGTTTAGTTATGGCTTGATGTTTTTTTATGTTTAACATATAATTAATGTTACTAATAATCTGTTTAATTATATAATCAAACTGAAGGTACTCACCAGTAGTTCAAGGCATTTTAGACAGAGGAAGTGAAGAGTGAAAGGGAATTTATATTTAGAATGTCATGTATTTTATATTCACTGTCTCATTTTAATGCTTACAACAACCTTCTGGATTAGAAATTATCTTGATTTTATGAAGGGGTTAACTCAGGTCAGAGAGGTTAAGTAATTTGCTTGGAGTCATACAATTAATGAGCAGCAGAACCAGGATTGAAATCCTGTGATCTCTCTAGTCATTCATGCAGTTTACCAATAAATCTGAACTTTATTATTCAGGGCTTTTTATCTGTTTATTCCTTAGTTCTGCATTTGATTCACATAGAAATAACTCTGAGGCAAGGGAAGTAGGAAGAAGGAAGGCACATTGCCAACTGTCAGGTAAAAGTTTGATGAGCAGCAGGTAGAAAGGAGGGGCCAGGACCAGAGACTGGACCTGTTCACACGGGTTTGCATGGGGAGAGTTGGCCAAAAACCACAGAGGCAATCGCAGCAGTGGATGGTTTGTGTCAAATTCAGGAAGGAAATCACATTTATAGGCTACTGTGGTGTGCCAGACACTGAGACAGGGGGAGATGCTTTATTTGGGTTATCTCATTTAACCCCCACAGGGCTGGAGATGAGTATTAGGATCTGACGGCAGGAGGTAGCAAGGTCTCAGTCAGGCCCTTAGGGTTCAAGGTTAGGATTCCAGTACTGGAGAATACTGATGAGAGCTTTTCAGGGCTCTGATC